GGAGAAAATCGCCAGGGCTTATCACCGTGGAATGTCGTGGCGCAAAGTCCTTGTTCGCCTTGAACCAGATGCTCACAATAACATCATCGTGAGGCGAATGTTCACAAATGCGTACGGCTGGCCCGTAGTTAAGCATCTCGTCGATAGTCACTTTCGACAGGATTCCCTGAACGAGAGTCAAAAGAGCCCGGGAGAAAGCGTCCAGGAAGCACATATACCTGTAGGGACAACTTGAGATACGGATGGTGGGGCTCAGGCCCAGGCTGGTTTGTTGAATGAAGAAACGACTTTAGCCTGCAGGTCATACGGCGCTGGCCAATTTCTCAGCGATGCCTAATCAAGCTACTCAACTGGTGAGAGCATCGCCAGTACGCGGTAAGCMCTTCGACCAAGGCCAGAATTCATGAAGGGGTGAATAACACCGTTGGCGGGCACCCAAGCCGTCAATGGCTGGGTTGCAAGAGTCATACCCTTTGATCACGTACACGAAATTGTCGGTAATTTCGAGTCGGATGTAGTCATCTGGGCTACAAGGCACAGGCATGCCGGAGAATACCTTAGGTATGCTGAGTTTTCATATATTGCCAAACTTGATGTGTCACTACGTCTGTGATGTACATTGTAACATGATGATGGGACTCTTTCTCCCTCACCAGAATACTCAGTATTGTCAACCCTTTTCCTCGGTTGGTGTTGAGAGCAAGGCTTGCGGCAGCCGGAAGCTGGCAGTTGCGAGGACGTGCTGGATTGAATGCGCTCGACTCACGATTCAATTCAATACTCGAGATGGCCTTGTATATGCCCCCAAAACTCCTCAATGAGCTCCTTCTGTCCTGCTTGATTTGGCGATCCTCGAACTGCGAGATACTTTCGCCCATCAACGCTGGCTTCCCAGTTACCAGGGTTCCCGYCCACAATTTTACCGCCAGCTTCTGTCAGAATGACCCAGCCAGCGCAAACATCCCACGCCCAGCAACCACCTTCCCAATACAAATCGAGATTCCCACACGCGACGGCGCAAAGGTTCAATGCAGCTGAGCCCATGCTACGCATTGAGCGTACCATTGCACCACCATCATCCTTGGTTTTACCGAGCTTTTCAAATGTCCGTACCTTCGTCGCCCAATTCTTGCCTGCTCTCTCCGAACCCCACTCAACGCCGATGAGAGCATTCTCTAAGCCATTCAATGGCTCAAGGCTCCTAGCATCGAGCGGAAGTTTAGTGTTGCGATTTAAATACGCCCCTTCTCCACGAATGGCAGAGTAGAGGGTATTGTTGAATGGATTGTAGACAACACCAACGACTGGTTTCCTGTCGATCGTAAAGCCGAGAGAGATGCATGCATATGGAAATCCGTGCACAAAATTGACTGTACCGTCGATGGGATCAACGACGAAGGTGGGGGCATCAGTTAATGGATTTGCAGGATCATATGTCTCCTCGCCATGAAATCTAAGGTGGTGGACTGTTAGCTCTTCTCATCGCTAATTGAGCAAAAGAGTGGCCTGAAATAAATATCCAGATCCGTAGTCATGGTTTGGCCTGTTGGCGAACATTATCTGATAGAAGGGGTCGCATATGACTTAACTGGTACTGCGGATATTTCCCTGCTAACGCTGTAGATATCATTTTCTCAACCGCACGATCATATTCAGTGACGAGATCCGCGGCTATGGAAGACGTCAATACCTTAAACCCAGCTAGACACAGACCGGAAACTCACTGTTCTTCTTTGACCCTGTAGTCCCTGTGTTCGGCAAGGCATTGGTAATGATTTCTCCAGCCTTGGAAGCTAGTTCTATCAAAAAATCATGAATATCCTTGAGGTCAATTGTTTCTGCGCCCATGTTTCTATTCTTCCCTCCTTTGTAATCTTCGAAGAGATGACTCGTTTGGCTCTACCCCGTTGGAAGAAATCTAACTGAATGTTCTTGGATGATTTCGAGCCCCGCCATTAGAGTTCGTCTGCCAGAATGGTCGACTTTAGCGTGACGAGCCATCCATACATATGGAGTGATAGACAGTACTATTCTGGCCCACTTCTACTTACCTAGGCTACTGAGTGACTAACCCCCAAGCGCTTTTATTTGCTAAGGGAACATGAAGTACTCCATACTGTTTCATCAGTTTGATGATCTTAGAAATTACTGGCATACAATCACTACTCTACCTAGAGTTGTTTTCTTGTACCTGCTTTTATGAGGAAACGGATAAGATCCGTTAGATGTAAGATTCATCCAAGTCTTGAATCCTGGAAGAATTAAGTGTGATTGCAAAGCTATCTAGCATTTATGGTAGATATTCAATTTTAAACTATATCTATAGGAAACAGCGTGAGGCAATCTGTATACCGGACTACGTACCTGATAACCAGAGGAGGGGTAAGTTATAAGTTCACAACCCCACACCAGTGACGTTGGAGAAAAGTCCCCGCACCAAAAATTTTCCCATTGATTGATCTACCACTAAGGTAGCATGTATCACTTCACTGACCTGCAATAACAGCCCACGAAAGAGGAAAGAGAGAGGAAAAGGGGGAAACAAAAAGTCTTATCTTCAATTTATAGACTCTATTGTCTGTTCTTCCTTTTCCCGGTCGCTGAAATTCCCCCTCAGTATGCCAACCGTCTTAGAAGAGGTGAGTCTGCGAGGTCCCTAACTGTTAGCTGGAGATATGGGAACAAAGAAATCTGAGATTGAGGAGGATGAGGAGAACCTCTCTAGCAAGGAAAGCAAGAGAAATCGGGGACCCCTTTAATGGAAGGATCAGGGAAGCTAATCAGTCTTTATCTCTCCATGGATACAGCTTGTTGAGTTCCTTCACCATGGAAATACTCAGATAAGACAAATTGGTAGAAACGCCCCTCTCGATCAGGCAGCCTGAACACTCAAATATCAGTTAAATGGTCTAACGCCTATGTCCAATTTAGCATGCGAAAACCTCGTGGGCTTCTCGACCGCTCAGCCGGACCTCTTCAAACGTCATCAGCTTCTTCCAGTGCGCGATCTCAAGCTTCTAGTTCGAGATTATACTGTTAGTAATAAGCTTATAACATATCGAATTCGGGAACGGTCTGCTGAAACTAACTAGCAAATCGCAAAAAATGCGCTTACAATTCTCATCAATATCTCGTCTGACCAGGAAGTATTGGCAAATCTTGCGGAAGATGATGCGTTTATAGAGACTCTCATGGTGAAGATAACGGTGAGTATACCAACCTCTTCCGTTCTGCGACGGTTAAGGAGATCGGGGTCTATGCTGACAACTCGGTCATCCTGAAAGGACGTCAAGGAACCAATCGCCGATGACATTGCTATGCTCTTCGCCAATCTCGCCAAGTCAGATAAATTGAGCCGGCTCATTACGTTGAAACGGAGGACTGCCGAATCCGTTTCCACGTCTACTATGGCGATCGATCAACTGATGGATTGTTTTGTGAAAGGTGCTGAGGGTGCTTTAAATAAGAAGGCCAATTTTGATTATCTCTCCTATTTGTTCGCCGATCTCTCAAAATCCGAGGCAGGGCGCGCATATTTTACCACCAGACAGGATTATGATGGTGTTGTTCCTGTCACTAAATTGACTGTCTTCACTGAGCATGAAAGCACCGTTCGGAGAAAGGGGGTGGCGTCAACGATTAAAAATGTCGCTTTCGAAATTCCGTTTCATTCGACCCTGCTCTCCGCAGACGAAGCCAATCTACTCCCTTATGTGTTGCTGCCGATCACAGGGCCAGAGGAATTCAGCGAGGAAGAGTCAACGGCAATGTTGCCAGACCTGCAGTTGCTACCCCCGGATAAGCAGAGGGATAGTGATAACAGCATCATTGTAACGCACCTGGAGACATTGTTACTGCTAACAACGACACGAGAAGGTCGGGACAAGATGAGGGCTATCAATGTGTATCCGATCATTCGGGAATGCCACCTCCATGTTGATGATGAGGATGTGCGCGAAGCTTGTGACAGGCTAGTCCAGGTGCTGCTGCGTGATGAGGAAGGAGAGGAAAATGCCAGCCAAGCTCAAATTGAAGGCACAAATTCTAGCTCTTCGTATTCAGATATCCATGGACGGCAGGAGTCTGCACAGAATGACGATGAGAAGGTTGTCGAATTGTTCTGATATAAATGGCATTTCTTGCTGTTAGATTCATTAGGGACATCAAAGCTGCTTATATCGTGAATACAATATTGGCTTAACTACTCATCCATTACTCATTGTGCAATCAGCTTTTCCCCTTAAATTTAATGCGGGCTATTTTCTAACAAGATAACAGGAGTACACCTTAGCTAACAACTGAACATGTTTACCTAAAGACATTGCCTTTCCAATACGCTTATTGTTCACCTCTATGATTGAACGCTCGCTAAAAAATCTTGCTTACAACCCTGGCAAAGTCAGGAGACTCCATCATTTGACAAATTAAGGAATCATAACCTTCGTCACCATAATTAACATCCTGCTCCCCGACTGCGTCCTAGAATTAGGGACAATTTACTGATCCGAGGCCGAAGAGAAGTAGGCTCTGGTCGCTCTGGTCGCCCTAGTCACCTGGGGTTGGCTTGTGTAAAGATGCTTGTGTACAAGTGCGCCTGTACTTCATGGCTCTGGCTAGAATCATTGACTGCCGCTCATTGCTGGAAGAGCGGCTGCGATGCCCGGTGGCCTACTGAAGACTGCATAAGAATGGCTAGTACCCCCGTAGATAGCACAAAGCAGTTATGGGAGCATATCCAGAATCGGTATAAGTACTCTGTGATACAGACTAGTACTTGTTCCCATATGCTTCTACTCTCAAGCCCAGCTTGGATGGATGTACACGAATACCTAACAACCGATGTAGTGAAGACTGTAATCCATGGTCATTTGAACATTGTCTTCGGTATCGGGGCACTCGTCGCCCTCGGTCCACCTCCTATTATTGATCTCGTTGAAGACACCTTGTCAGGTCAAGACGGGCATGGGGAAATCACTGTATGAGAACCTGGTGTTCAACCATTAAACCAGTATATTTACCCGATCCGTCGATCCTTTCAGGACTTCCATCCAGCCGTCTTCCCCAACGATGACGATCTTCCCATCTATGCAAACTCGCCTCCACTTCTGCTCAGCCTCATGAAAATCGATTCTGAAGCCTTCAACTTCCGTGTAGAGGACGCTGCTTTCGTGTACATGCCGCCCCCCATCATACGCGAGAGACATTAGTTGCATGGCTTTTTCTGCGGAGACTGCGCCGAAATGAATTATTCTCAACCTGCCATCCAATGCAACCGACTCTGGCGAGATAATAAAGTTTTTCTCGAGCCTTGGAACAAGTGTAGCTAGTACGTACATATGTTCTCCGCATTCTAGAGTCTCCACGGAGTTTTCATTGGTCGCTATGTTAGACCGGAATAATGTGATATTACCTTTATACCTGTGCGTGTCGACGCCGCTAGAAGGGAAAAGGAGCTCCTTGGCTGCCATCTGGAACCTCTCGGCTCCGAACCTTCTATATTCCGAAGTGTCACTGTCAGCAACTAAGGCAGCGTGGAAACCCCAGCTTGCGACAACCACGCCGTGAATTGGATTCACTGAGGATTGGGTCATCGAGCTATCAAGCATAGGAATCAGAGTGCGGCCCTCATCCGTGACGTACTGCGCGCCAGGAGAAAAATTAGCGACTAAGGTGGGTATAGGTTTCGGTGACCCTTTCAGCAGAACAGTCAAGCCTGCTGTCGGGCGAGAGAGCAGCCCTAATGAGCTTGCCATAGCATTACCCGTCCCCATCGGTATCAGAGCGACGATCGGAGGAACAAGTGAAACTCCGACAGCACTGTGGAATGAATCGACAATATCATTCAGGCCACCGTCCCCAGAAAGAAGAACAATTGTTTGGGGAAAGCCAAGTTTTGCACGACCGATAAGCCTTGACTGACACAGTTCGAGTATGGATCGCGCTGATTGTGTCTCATGGACTTCATACTCCGTCAATCCAATATGTGCCAAGAATGGTTGCACAATGTTTCTGAAGAAATTCTTTGCCTTCCCTGTCCCTGAGGGAGCCGAGATAATGACATGAAGATCAATCGCCCGGTCCACCGAAGGCTTGAGATGATGGGGAAGTTCCGCACAGAAGTATCGTGATAGTAATGTAGATGGTGGAGAAACCAATTGTATGCTTGCCAGAGAAGATCTACAATCTCCCCGCGGAACAGACGTCGCCTCTTTCGGACCATTTCGTAGATAGAGCATGTTGTAGTTCTTTCCATCCTGGCTAGCATGTGGTAGGATGCAGATCACATCATCTATGGCAATTCTAAGCTCCCGCTGCCCCTGAATTTCACTGCATTGAATGTCGTCATTGGAAAAATTACAGGAGAACTGCGAGGCATCAGCCCAAATAGCATCTGGCAATGGTTCCATTTTTCTATTTCAGCACCTGAATCAGTAGTTTTCCTAGAGGCAACATGATCCAACTTACGGTGTTCAGGAAGGAGGGTTTGATGTGGCTTTGAATAATGGTGGGAAAGACTATGAGCCAGCAACAGCATGGCAGGGTGGGGGTAAATAATGAATTATTAATATTTTTGCACATTTATTACCTCTTATCTACCCAGCAACTTGTCATTAACGTTATTCCCAACCGAGTCGGACACCCTAGCGAGCCGGACACATCTGTATTCCATATAAAATGGCACACTTCAAGCCTTTGACATCTCAACAACCAAGCATCTACAGGGTCTAAGTTTAGGTAGGAGGTATTAGTATAGCCATACAGAGTTATACTTATGAGCTACAGCCTCTTAGTACATATGAATACTCAGGTAATATAGATTGCATCTGTATTTTTGGTGATATCACCTTTTTAGACATTAAGAGAGAGGAATGGTATTTTAGGGCCTTGCAAAAAAAGTATTTATATACCTTAATTATATACAGGGTCTAAATATTTTGCTTACATTATAGCATATGTGGACATGTTGTGATATCATAGCCTTGAAGAGTGCTATTCCATATGGAATACAGTGATGTCCGGCTCGCTAGGGTGTCCAGCTCGGTTGGGAATTACGTTATTATTACCTTACAGTACCTCTCTAAGCCGTACCTGAAATGACGGGTAGCTTGGCCCACAGATAAGGTACTAGGTAGACATACATACCCAAGGACCCACTATCTAGACTACAGAGTAAGCTTAATCATTACCCAGATTAACAGCGACACCCCCTTACCTGATCAGGTAGGTAACAGACTAAGGTAATAGCCATGTGTAATACCCATAATAGGATACTAGGATACTACTAAGCCTTGAGCCTGGCTCTAGGATATTTGCAGCGAAACCACATTTCTGGAAAATCACTTACTCATATGACTGTTACCTACCTAATTTGGTAAGGGGTTTTGCCGGAATCTAGGGGTGTCCAGATGTCGTCGAGTGGTCCGCCAACTTGCTGTATCACCAACTGCTTGCTACCTATGTCCTGTTAGCATATATAAGATAGTCTCGTGACCTAAACTGCGACCAACTTTAGCAAATGTAAGTGCTCATGAACATGATAACATACATCTCTATTCCTCTACCTTACCACGCACATCACACTCCTGCTTGCGGTCAAGTGAATCGATCTTGTCATTATTTTACATATCTCGTCACACACAGCTGGGCAAACCTATGATTGATAACTGGACACATGCTTATCGCTCAAATTTACGGCAATGAAAGTCTTGGGAAGTTTGACCCTATGGAATTCTCATCAGTCGTTGGCCCTATAAAACGTAGAGGGATGAAGGTGGGTGTGGAACGCACGTGTCGAATTTCGCTTTGAGGGTCTCAATGACCTCTTTCCAATCCTTATGGGCAGTTAGGCTTCTTCTCGGAGCGCAACCAATCGCATGCCGCGAATCAAGTTGCACATCTAGCGGATCAAAAGCGTGGCATCCAGGACTGATAGAGATACGGATTGAATAGGAACTTGTGGATGATTCACAATCCTTAGCCTCGTACAGCTCGAAACAGATTTGTGATAGGTAATCCAATTCAGGTATAGCGCTTCTGGCTATCTTTGTCTGAATTCCGCCCTCGATGATGCAGTTCAGGAGGGTATAGATATGGGATTCCTTAGTGAAGTAGAAAAACGATTTCGCATCTGGAGACGCCTGGACTTCTTCGAGGTCTCTGACAATCTCCTGAAGAAGGGGTAAGGACGTCAACAAGCCTATCTCCAGTTTCTCAGAGTCGGTAATTCCGTACTCCTGAGGAGTCACGTAGTCAAATAGAACTTTGGCCAATTTGTACAACTCCCGGAGTTTTGAAAGTCGTCCATCCATTTTAGCTTTCGTAGGACTAGAGCCTGGGTACAGCTTGAAATAGTGATCATACGAGTCATCAAGGGCCCTTAGATGCGGTAATGAATCGAATGCATGTGCTCGCTTCTTGAATCGGAGGAGATGCGATAAGGTCGGATTTTCCACGCTTTCCTCCATTCCTTCGCTTGTTAGACTGTCATGTCCGGGTATTATGTCCCCAACAAGATCGTGACGGTTAGTATTATTAGAACTGGAACTGTGCCGTTCATGCTCGTTCATCCCCTCATCAGGGGGCATGAACACCCACTCAAGAAAGTGTCTGTTGTGGAGTGCATCAAATTTCATGCTGTCGTACAATTCGGAAAGTTTGCTCGGGTCAACCTTTTCCGTGTCGCAAAATTCTGCAAAAAGCTTTTCCCATCGTTCTTTGAAGAGCATGGGATCTTCACCAGTACACCACCGTCCCTGGATAGAGGAAAGGCTTGGGCTATCCGTGTCCGGAATGACATTCCGAGAGGTAGAATCGTCACCAAGGGGAGATGTCGATGAAGGACAATGTGGGGAGCTGTTAATCTTCCCAAAATTGTGTCTCATGACATTCCGGTGAAATTTCATCAACTCAACAACAGTAGCGAGAACAACCGATGGCTCAGGGATGTTATCCTTGGGCCAAGTAAACTGTGAAGGTGCAGACCCTTCGCGCAAAAGAAGTTTCAGCTTCTTCTTCACCTTATCCATAACATCTTTTGCAGCGTTGGAGTCATCCAGAAGATCCTTTCGCACTTGAATAAAATCATCCGGGAGCTCCTTCTGGTCGAGAAAAGAACACGCCCAAATTTGAGCTACATTATCTCATAAGCTTGGCGCCGGACAAAACCGTACCTTGGAAAAGACTTACCGCTAGTACTCACTCTTCGCTCCGAGCTTGTAAAGATCCGAACATTATTCAGCGCCTCTTTGTTCATCAATTTCAGATCGTCGCGCATATTGAGACCTAGGTCCTGTGATTGGTATCTTGCGGCGTGGGTTGGCTCTCCACCCCACTTGATCACAAGTTGCAGCTTGTCTAGGATGAGACCGTTCTCGGCAGCGGAAAATCTTGAGAATGTTGTACCGGATATTGAGTCACTGCGAGTAGGTGTTCGAGCAAATTTTTCATTACTCCCGCTAGCATCATTGGCGATTCGGGTCCAATTAGTTTGCGCTCCGTCGCTGTTCGAGTTCTCTGAACTATGTGTGCTCAATTCCTCCTGCGTTCGCTTGCGAAACATAGGTTTAATTTGAACCTTCGTGCCAGGCCAGCCACCTTTCTTCTCCAGGGATGTTCGAAGCAGTTTGAGTTTTTCCATATCTTCCAGTTTCTGATCCATTGCAAGCCTGACAGCCTCCGAGACGCTAGCCAAGGCTGCCTGTCCTTTGATCACCACTTCTTCTTGATGGCCTTTCAACAAATCAATAAATGGCTGGCTGTGGAAAGTGAACTTGAACTTTTGCTTTGGCGTACGATCCGCATGCCTTATGACTGCAACCATGCCCTTAAGCTTCCAGGAATGTTTAGATGCTGGAGGTGGAGGCGGCGGGATCGTTTCGTCGGGATGGCTGGTCAACTCTGGGGTCTTCGGGTCGAGATCACTTATATCTGAATCGATCTGGCGGGCATCTGTGCTCGTACGACTTCTTTTGTAGTCCGTACTCTCTGCTCCAGAGGATGCTGGAGGTAACGCCGCAAGGTCCTGGAGACTATTGTCGAGGCTCTTATGACTGCCGTAGAGTTTGGACGCGGATGGAGATTTCAACAAGGTTTTTAATGTATGCCTGTGAGATACAGAATGTCTCACATGATGGGTTGTATCCGGCGAAACCATTTCTAGTGACCTTTGTACTCCCTCGCGTTTGCGCTTTTCATTCAGAAACATGTCGCTCAGAATACTGGCACATTTGTCGTAATAGTCATTGTTGTCCTTGACGAAACTCCATCCATTAACATCGATCACGTAGCTTCTATCACCGACTCGAAGCATATCGAAGCCGCAGATCCTTTGGCCAAACCCATTCGAGATTTTTGACGCAATTGCTGCCTCATCCTGGCTCAATTTCGTTATGTACCTGAGTTCTTTCCCGTGCGTGTTCCGGCGAACGACTCCATCAACCACAGGCGACTTGCGCGTCTCTGCATGGCAAAAATCTGGCCCGACTGTATAAGCCTTGACATCTTCAGAATTGTCGACCCTCAGAAATTGTTCGTAAATGTAGCTTGTGTCTTCTTCTGTAACTGATCTAGGTACCACAAGATGAGGATCGTATTCGGAGCTTTTGTTCCCGACTTTCCGGAAAAGCCTCCTGCCTCCTCCGCCATACTGTTGATCGTTAGGAAAGTATATATGGATGTTGTGGTTTTCGCCGTTCACTGGCTTTTCGACAAAGGGTTTTCTGATAGATTTTCCATCCACAATCAGAGCCTCGCCGTCCTCAGACATTGTTACCACCTGAGTTTTCTGAGAGCCTCCTCCAGTCCCATCTTCAGGGCCCTCGAGCTTGACCCCCGTTAACCTGTAAACGTGCTGAGCAAGCTCCGAAGATTCCAACCTTGGTCCGCCGTCGCGATTGACCTCTAATCTCTTTGGCGTGGGGACATTCATATGATCCAGAATTCGCAGACACAGTCGTCGGTCCCATAACACTTTCTGCATTGGTAAATCATTCACGCAAAAAGGCTTTCGAAGTCTCGCGTAAGCGATGGCCTTCTCCAGGGGGAAGCCGTCAGAAAAGAATGCAATCAAAAAGTCGCATACAGGCCAATTCTCTACAGCCTCATCGAGAATCACCTTGTCTCCGAAAACAATCACTTCAAAACCACCTTTGGCTTGCAGGCGGGTTAAAATGTTCTGACTAGGTTTGCTGCGCGCTTTCACATCCAGAGCGCAGACGCCAATCCTGCCAATGCTTGAGTAGCCGGTTTCAGCTTCACTGACCGAGCTGGTAGCGGTGCTGCCACTAAGTCTCCTAGGCGTTCGGCTGGAGGAACGAGCTGAGCGAGCAACTCGCACCCCGCCAGCATGATCTGTCATTACGTCTGAGTTCTGGATTTTGCTCTGGTGGGATTGCCCATTACTCGGGCT